TCTCTCTCAGGTTTTTCTTCACTCTCTCTCTCAGGTTTTTTTCACACACTCTCAGGTTTTTTTCACTCAGGTATTTTTTCACTCTCTCTCAGGTTTTTTTCACACACTCTCTCTCTCTCTCTCTCAGGTTTTTTTCACTCTCTCTCTTTCTCTCCCTCCTCTAGGCCTCAGGCCTCGGCCTCCCCGCTCTCTCTGTTCCGGGTTTCTCTCGGCGGCAGAGCGCGGGGCGGAGCGACCGAGTCCCAGCTTCCTGCCGCGGGGGGAAACCCCCACCAATCGCACCACCCTTCAAAACACCTTAATAACTCCAAAAATACCCCTCAAACCTCACTCCCCGGGATCAGCTCCGACCCCCCACCCTCCCAAATCCTAAACCCCTCCTAACAACAACCCTCAATACAACCCAAACCAAACCAAACCCCCAACACACCCCCAGAAAACACGTTAATAACCCCAAAATACTCCTCCCTCAAACTCCAACCCTCCCCAGGGGGCAGCTCTGACTCTCAAATGAAAACACCCCCTCAATAACCCCCAAAATACCCCCTAAGTCCCCTCCCCCACACACACAAGGGCAAGCTCCGACCCCCAACCCCTCCTAAAACACCCCCAAAATAACCTTCAAATCTCACCGCCCATCCTCCCCAACCACAATCCCCGCCCTACCAATCCCCCATCTGCAACACTTCCCAAAAACCAACTCTTCCCACCTTTCAATAACTCCCCAAAAAAGCCTGCAACTTGCCCCACGGCCAGCTCCGACCCCCTCCCTGACACCCCCCCCCCAATACCCCACCTCCAAAACCGACACATGACACTTACCCCAACATGCCCCCCAAATCCCAACCCCTGAAGCCTCAAGCATACCCCCAAAAAAACAGTCAACTCAAAAACTCAACCACAACCTTAAACATTCCCCAATACCCTCAAAACCTGATTCCCATCAGGATTCCTCCCTCCCCCCAACAAAACCCAATCCATGAATCCCAAACCCTTCATCCCAAACACGACCCTGACATCCTAACCCCATCTGAACACGCAACACCTGCCCCCAACAACATATAATACTGCCCCAGAGGAATGCCTAAAGCACTCCAGCCAAACCCCCTCTAAACCCAAAACCCCAACACATCCAAGTACTAACCCAGAAAACTGCAGACCCCTCCATTTAAGCCCCCATCCCAGCTTCCTGCTCTAGAGGACCCTCCGAAACACTCCCTAATGCCCAAACACTTAAAATCCCAACCCCCACATTAAACCCCAACACACACAGGTTTGAGGGCAGTACCGTGGCTCAGTGGTTAGCACTGCTGCTTCAAAATGCCAGGGACCTGGGTTTGATTCCACCCTCGGGTGACTGTCTGTGTGAAGTTTCTCCATTCTCCCCGTGTCTGCGTGGGTTTCTTCCCACAGTCCAAAGATGTGCGGGTTAGGTGGATTGGCCATGACAAATGGTTATAAGGGTAGGATAGGTGCATTGGATGCTCTTCAGGGGGTCAGAGTGAACTTGATACGCTGAATGGCCTGCTTCCACACTGTAAGGATTCTATGATCCATGACCTATGACACCACAGAGCCCTACACCTATCCAAGGTAATCCCTCCACCCCATGCCAACACATCTCAAACCTCAACAACACCCTAAAAATACAGCCCAGAAAATCTCTTAAAGTCCAATGTCCCAATCCCTAATTCCATATACTTGTCTTTGGCCCACACCCTTTGCTTACCAAAAATTTATCTATCTCAGATTTAAAATTAACAACTGATCTAGCATCAACCGCCATTGGTGGAAGAATGTTCCAAACCTGTGCCACTCTCTTGTATATAGAAGTGCTTTCTAACGTCTAGGGGATTGGGTTAGCTCAGCTGATTAATGGCTGGTTTGCAATGCAGAGCGATGCCAACAGTGTGGTACTGACTGAGGTACCGTGAAGAATTATCCTTCTCAACCTCTCTCTTCACTTGAGGCACGGTGACCATCAGGTTAAGCCACCACCAGTTGGCTCTTTCTTATGAGAGAGTAGCCCTGTGGTCTAGTAAGTCTGGTGACTTTATCTTTTACCTAACATCTCTCCTTAATGTTCTGGCGTAACTCCCAGACTCTGTCCCTTAGTTCTAGAATCTCCAACCAGTGGAAATAGTTTCTCTTTATTTGTTCTGTCTTTTCCTGTTAATATCTTGAAGACTCGATCAAATCACTCCTTGACTTTCTAGATTCGATAGAAAACACATCTGATTTGTATAATCTACCCTCATAACTTAACACTTGAAGTCCAGGTATCATTTTTGTAAACGTATGCTGTAATCCCTCTAAGACCCATTAATATGTCCTTCCACAGTTCTCCAAGTGGAGTCTAACCAGGGTGTTGTATAGTGACAGCATGACTTCTGAGTCGTTATACTCCAGTCCTCTAGGTATAAAGCCAGCACTATATTAGCCTTCTTGATTATTTTCTGCACCTGTTTGTGGTATTTTAAAGATCTATGCACCTCAACGCCAAAGTTTCTTTGGACATTCACTGTTTTTAACTTCATACCATCTGGAAAGTACCCTGGTCTCTCCATTTTTGGTCCAAAATGGATAATCTCACACTTGTTTACATTGAAAATCATCTGACACAGTTTTCTTCATTGACCTAGCTATGCTATCCAAGCTGTCTACAGAGCTGCCTTTGCGTCATTAGCAAATTTGGATATATGATTTTTTTATGCCATTATCCAAGTCTACATGTGACTCCAGTCCAATAGCATTGTGCTTGAGTTAAAGTGGATCCTTTGTTTCTATCAAACCTGCAGCCAGCATCATCTTGACACAATGAAGGATGAGCAATAAATACCAGCGTTTCAAGCACTGCCACCATCCTGAGAATTTTTCTTTTAAAAATGAGCACAAATTTGAATGTAGTTACAACAGTTAAATTATTTTAATTGAGATATTTTGCACATTTGCCATCCACACCCTTCCCATTTCAAGAAATTGCCTGAATCTCATTGATCGAGCTCTCTCCCCAGTTTCCCAACCTGCCAAGTGCTTGGTCTGTCTTGTACCACATGGTGGCAGTGCTGCTACACAAATCAGAGAACAGGGCTGAAAATTCTCCAATCTGTGGGGGAGATAGAAAAAGGGAGAGAAAGAAAGAATGTGATAAAGAGTAAGAAATTAATTAAAAATAAAGTATTGAACTGAAGTTAGTCTTAGTAATGCTGATAATGAAAATATTAAATTCAAATAAAGCCCATCCAGGTTCCTTAATGTCCTTAAGGGAAGGAAATCTCTCCTTACCCCGTATTAGCCTGTATGTGACTTTAGACCCTCAGCAATGTGATTAATGTTTAGCTCACCCTCTAACATGGCACCCCTCACATAAGGATGGACAACAAATATTGGTCTTGCCAATGGTACCCTAATCCTGTGAATTAATTTTAAAAAGTGGAAGAATATAGGGAGGATTACTGCTATGTGTAGGATGACATCATAGGAGGTATCTAGTATGCACTCTACCCTGTACAAGTAGCCTCCTCCATATGAAAATATGATTAGGAAAATTATATAAGCACCCTCACAACACCAGTCAGTCTTTGCAGTTTCCCACAGTCTCCGGCTGCTGTAATACTGACTCTGAACTAAAATGCCTGAAGGGAGGAATGTGTGATAGGATAGGCAAGTCTGCCCACAGGACATCTTCACTCTGAAGTCTAACAAAAATATACATCAGCCCTCTCTGCTCAAACCAGCTTGTATAAGTAGTTAGACTAGGAAGCAGCAGTAAATGGATTGCTCAGAATCCATACTAAGTTTTGTGCTAATTGACTTGATATAATTTGACTTTTGTACACTAAAACCTTTTTAGTTCTTGTATGCCTTCTGCTGACAAGATAATTTCTGTACTTGGTATTTGGTTCATTGGTGTGGAAATTGGAGCAAGGGCTTTCAAGGTGAATAGACTGAGATGGAAAAAGCAAACATGTTCTCTGACTCTTGAATGAGCTTCCACCCATGTATCCCCTCATCACCAAGACTGGCCACAGCCATCTCCATAACATTGCCCCATCACCACCCATACCTCAGCTCATCCATGTTCTAGTTACCTCCAGGAATGACTATTCCAGTGGTCCCTCGGTCAGTCTCCCATCTTATACCTTCTGTTAACTACAACTCATCCAAATTTGCCACCCATGTCTCAATTCACATCAACATCCATCCATTCATTGTGTTGGCTGATTGATATTGGTTCCTAATCCAACAGCATTGTGATATTCCAGTTCCTGACCTCATCACTATCTCTGTAACTCACAAACC